ATGAATAATGTTCTCTTTTTTGTGTGTGGTACAAGGGTTATACACAGGGCCTTTTATTTATTCACTCTTTTTGATAGTCTACTCTCTATGTAGCTTAGGCTTGCTAGTGATCCTCCTGCCTCAGCCTCCTGAGCGCTGGGATTGCAGGCGTGCGTCCCCATACCTACTTGTTTTGGACACTGGCCCTCACAGAACTCTAATGGAGATAAAGCTGACTAAAGACTGAGCTAGATAAAGGCACCAGGATGCTTTGAGCTAGTCTGTGGTTACAGGTGAGGCCCAAGTTAGGACAACGTGGAGTTGTCACTGAAGGGACTCTGGAGTCAGGTTCCTTGTTTTTTTTGACAGGGTCTCTGCTATGTAGTTCAAGCTGGTTTTGAACTCATTTACTTATGCATCCCAGACTGGCCTGGAACTTGCAGGGATCCTCATGCCTCAGCCTCCTGAATGCTGGGATTACAGGTGTGCATCACCACATCCAGCCCTGAACTCCTTCTTAGAAGAGGCTGTACTGGGACAGCAGTGTGGGAGGCCAGTCTGGAACAGAGACAGTGGGAGAAGCAACCGCAGGGGCAGGGGCAGTGAGCACCGACCAACAGGGACCTAGTAGGAACACCGTGTTTTGTTCTGACAGGCTGGTCACACACGCCTGAGACACCAGCAGCTGTCCTGCCAGGAAAGGGTGAGACTGACCAGCCCCGTCCCATCAGCACCACAGGCAAAGGGACACAGTCCCTCAGTAAGTCTGTGCTCCAAATAGCAGTCATCCATACTTCTGATTTGGCTACAAATCCAGGTTACCATGACACCCTCAGAATCAGCCAGCTAGAAATCATAGAATGTCTCAGCACTCAGGAGGCTGAGGCAGGAGGATCGCTGTGAGTTCGAGGCCAGCCCCAGCTGCAGGGTGAATTCAGGGCCAGCCTGAACTGCACAGTGAGACCTATCTTAGACAACAACAACAAAAAAAAAAGAAATCACAGAATGTAGGAAAGCACTCAATTTTTAAAAATTATTTTATTATAAAGGTTACAAATCAGAGCTGGCCAAAGAAGGGGACATACAGGGCAAGACCTGGGAGGGCTTCACACACAGAACATCTTGCCCTGTCCCTAGAGGCAGCGAACATCACCCTCCTGGCCCGGCCGAGCTCACCAGCCAAGAAACCCTTGGAACCGCTGCCACAGATGTGACCTGAACGTGATCTTGTACGCAGGACTGGCCACATGGACGGGTTGAAGCCCCGCCCCCACTCCGTCCCAGAGGCTGGGGAGGCTCTGCTCACACCCCTGGTCTCCCTGGTGACCAGTGGGCATCCTGAACCATCTCAGGCGTGACCCCAGGGTGAGAGGCACTCCTGTCCCTCAGGAAACTCCCAGCAAGATGGAGAGCCCCTCCCCCGGGCCAGGGACGCAAGCAGTCATATTCCTTGACGGACAGCAACCTTGAACCCGCACCTCCTACAAGACCTACTCTGATCCAAACAAGGCCAAGATCCCCAGAGCAGGGCCTGCTGCTGCCCAGGGCCGTTGTCTTGTCCTGTCTCAGTTCCTCACAGAGGAACATTCGAGCACGTCCAGCGGTAGAAGGAATATTAAGCCCTCCGGCCCCAGTGCAGCAGATGATCATCTCTCTACCTGTGGCTTACTTCCTGAGGCGCCCCCAGGCACTGACTGCGGTCAGGTTATCCCAGATGTCCCATTAGTGTGTGGATTCTGGAGCCACAGCATCCCTCGAGTACTGGGCAACCCAGGGCCTCTGAGCAGCAGGAATCCTTTCCACTGCATCAAAATTATGGAAAGAAAACCTGACATGGCTTTATTGCCTTTAAAGTTTCTGAGCCTCAGGGCTGGGGATACAGCTCAGTGGCACAAGTGCCTGCCTGTCAAGCACAAGGTCCTGAGTGCAATTCCTGACACACACACACACACACAAAAATTGGTAAGTAAGTTTCTGAGCCTCCACAAGCCAGCCTTGCCCTGGTTACAGCCATGATTATCTCCTGAAAGAATCAATTCTTTATAACAACCATTGCTGAATTCCTACCATCTTGATTAGTGAAACTCTGTATCATTTCTAATGTTTTTTTGAATTACTTTTTATTCTCTTTAATTGTTTGATCAATCTTGCATTCTTACATCTGGTAACCTGCATAACATCACTGAAGGTAACAATATGTAATATAACAACCACTGTTAATTTCCCATCATCTTGTTTTGAAATCCTGTATCATTTTTATTGTCTGTGTGTTGTTTTGTTTTGATCTTTGTTATTTTGTTTTCTTTTCTCTTTAAAGTAAAAAAGAGAAGAATCAATTCTTTGAAAAAAAAAGTTTAAGAAATAATAGTTCAAATATCTCTGACTATGGGGCCGGGGATGTAGCTCAGAGGCACAGTGTTTGCTTAGCAAGCACAAAGTCCTCAGTCTGAGTCCCAGTACTGGACAAAAAAAAATTCCTGATTAACTAAAACCAATAGTGGGTGAGGAAATAAGGTAAAACGATTACATATTAGTATGAGTTACGGAGGGCAGTTTCAGAGTAATTACAGCACACACAACTGGTCCGTCAGTCTTAATACTACCAGACTTGAGCTTGACCTTGTTTGTCAGCCAGGGGGACTGAGACAGTCCTGGTACCTGCCAGGAGGGGGTTTTACGTTAGTATTTCTTCTAGGGATTTCGGATACTTTGGCAGGACACCAGGGTTTCTCTGCTCTCACAGGAAGAGGCATCTCCTCTACAACGCAGTGGCGAGAGGAGGGAAAGAGCTATCCTCTACCTTCTCACCAGCATGACTCTGCAAGATGAGAAACCGCGTGGACACAAAGGTTCCTCCCATCCAGGACCCTTTCACAGGGCTGCAAGGCTGGATCTCGGAAGGCCTCACCACTGCACACAGCAGGGTGCGCTCCTCAGGCTACAGCTGCAGAGCTCCACGCATGGAGCTTAGCTTCGGTGACTAGATTTTCTCCCGGACACAGGGCCATAGACTCCCAGAGCGTGTCCTGAGCAGCGCATCTGCTATGCAAGAACCTTCTCTGTCACCCCCGTCCTACAGAAGGCAGCCCCAGCAGGAGCCCCGGGATACCTATGGCACCCGACTCCTCTGAGCCCCGCTGCCTCCTGAGTGTGACTCTGTTCTAGACAAGGCTTATTTCACAAGATCAATAAAGATGCTTTCGGACATCTTCAAGACCAGAGAAGCATCCACCAAAGACCTTTTCTTCCTCAAGGCAAAGGAAGAAAACTTGGATCAGTTACAGCAGGGACAGCTTCCCTGCAAAGATTTCCTCTCCCAAGGAATTGCAAGTTCTTCCTGGGAGATAACACAGACCCCACATCTGTCGGGCACACCAAGGGCACAGAGTCCTGGGATCCCAGCACTAGGCCTGAGATGGGCTACGTTCTCAAGATCCACATGAAAAGGCCGGGGTCCCTAAATTCCCAATGGCGACCTCTTTCCCTAAGACAGCTGACAGAGCGAGTTCCCTCTCGGGAAAGCCCAGAGCTGAACTCATGTCACAAGAAGTGAAGTTCTTCACCTCTGGGGTGGGAACTTAACATCCTGACAGTAGGATGTAAGGGGCGTGGGGAAAGTCTACCAACCCATCCCCTCCTACCCTAGCAGACTGGCTCATTTTTACTGCATAGAATCACGCAGGAAAAAAACAGCCATTTGTCTGGCCCTCTTTAGCTCATTTCTTCCCTGATCCTTGGAAGTCTTCCTGAGCCTGGTCCGTGTGACATCCAGAAGTGGCCCAGCGAGGAAGACCACGGAAGGGTCAGGGCCGGCGATAGGCCTCTTGCTCACAAGGGGCTCAGGGCCAGGTCATCGCTCACGCATGGGATAAACAGGAATGTTGTTGTCTCCCGCTGGGCCAGCTTCAAGGACCTTGGGGTCATAGAGAGCCACCCAAGCAGCTGACCTAGTGTGGTGTCAGCGGCAGCCACACACAATCCGACCCAGGGACAGCACACCCGGGATAACTGGCGCGGCTGGCTGCTTGACTGTGACAGCCACAGCAGCATGTATCGGCCACCCGGAGAGGGGGCGCCATCATGGAGGACACTGACTAAGGCAGGACGCTCTGGGCCGGGGGCTCCGGCCCCACTGCCTTGGCCACGGGAGGCAAGGGTCCCCGTGACACTCAGGAGAGGGAGGAAGTTCCATCCACACTGGGCCGGCGGCCTTGACACAATCCCAAATGCCACACACCCTGACGCAGACCGTGCGCCTTAATCACACAGGTTCACCTGAACACTTTTTAAACCCTCAGCGTGGCAATAGAAGGGACAGTTCAAAAGAGAAAAAGAGCTATTTTCCGGTGGAGGAAGAGGATACACTTCTTTGGGAAACTCTGGTCTGTGTGTGCTACCCATGGCTCCCTTCAAGCACCGAGAAGACCATGGGTAGAGCCCCAACATGTGGGGAGCGGTGGGACGTGGGTCTGGAGAAGCCGAGACTCAGGCTGGTTGTGCAGCACAGAGATAGCACGTGTGCTTCACAGGCATGAGGCTCTGGGTCCAATCCCCAGCATTAGAGAAGACAAAACATACACTGAAATTCAATGACTCTGTCAGGTATGGCAGAGTACACCTGTAATCCCGGCACCTTCGAGGCTGAGGCAGGAGGATCATTTGGGGTTTAAGGCTAGCCTCAAGTACAGGAGACTCTTCTCAAAAAAAAAAAAAAA